CCATGCTGCTTGCCGGGCGCGCCCCGCGTGAGGCGATCCGAATCCACCATTTCGCGCGGTTCAACGCCCCGGTCAAGACGGACACCGCGGGGCAGCTCACCGAGGACATCTTGCCGTTGGCCAGCGGCAGCGCGATGTGGCGCACTGCAATGCGAGCTTGGGTGAAGATGTTCACCGACGAGGCGCGGGCCGCCGTGGGGGACACGCAGTACGGGGTGGCGTGCCCCAGCGGCTGCACTAGCCTTCGCCACGACTTGCAACTCGAGAGGATGCTCGACCCTGGACGTGCGTTGTTGGGGATCGACATCGAGAACATGCGCAAGCAGGTCGCCCACAATATCCCGCGCATGGCCGAGCTGCTCTCTTGGATCCGCGTCCCGCGGAGCCACATGTACAAAGATGAGGAGGGGGCAGTCCACATAATCGACGCGTTCGACGACCTCGACCAGGGAGGGCTGCCCCGCTTCCAACATCCTCGCCCCCGTCGCACTCGTCGACGCGCGCGCTGAACTCGCTGAGCGCGGTGTTGTCTTTGGGCAACATGATGACGCGTATGTGCTGGCCAAGCCTGCGAATCTGCCGGCCATCCGGGGCAGCCTCGGCGCTGTTTTTGCCCCGGTTGGGCTCCGAGTGAAGCTGTCGAAATGTTGCGTCGCCGCGCGAGGCCCGTGCGGGACTGGCGGTTCTGGTATTGCGGTGTCTGCAGCCGTGCCCGTCGTGTTGAAGCTGCCGTTGCCGATGCCGGAGGCCGATGGCACCGTATCGGTTGACGTGGCGCTGCGGTCCGCATCGAGGCTCGTCGAGATGCTCTCCTGGGTCGGGTGGCTGACCTGCGTGGTGCTGGATTGATTGCCCAGTCGGCCTTCCTGCTCGTGCGGATGGCTACCGCAGGCGTCATCAATTACGTTGCGCAGAACGTGCCCATCCCAGATCTGGTATTGTTGAGCTTAGACAAGGCGCTGTTGGCCAGGGTCCACTAACCTACTGGGCATCGTCATGGCCGCAGATCCCGGTGTGGAGCATCACTGGTGGCTTCTCCCTTGGCGGGACGGCGGCATGGGGCTCCACAGTGCATACCACTCCGCGGAGGCACCATACTTGGCTTCGTTGGGTCTGGCGGTTGCCCGCGCGACCAACAGGCATGGCCTGCCGTCCTCCCGCGATGTCATGGCGCGCTTACCCTGCCTTGCATCGTCGACTACCTCGGTGATGCGCTCCGTGCGTGGTAAGGGCGTCGCGAGCCTCGCAGACCTCGCAGCTTTCTCGACCATGACGACCTGAGGCCGGCACGACAGTGGCGACTCGCAGCTCGCGCGCGCAGCTACGCCCTATTCGAATGCGGTGCGAGCGATGAGTCTGTCATTGCTTGCGAGGAGAGCGGCGGCCCTGGGGCAAGCGGTTGGTTTCCCCCACCGCGGCGGCCCCAGCAGTCCACGTCCGACCAGACATTCGTTACGTGCGTCCGCTTCCGGATGAACTTTCCGGTGTTCCAGTCCGCCGGTCTGTGTCTCCACCGTTCGAAGCCCTTGCAGGACCGCCCCAGTGCATTGTGTGCGCGCGCGACCTGTGCGCTCACAGTTGCGGACGTCGCAGAGTGTCCGGCCATCGAGGAGCAGCACGACCACACCTTGCCAGATGATCGCCGGCCCGATGTGCACTTCCAGAATCATTGGGGCGAACCTGAGCACGTCGACGAAGCCATCGTGAGCCCGTGGGCAAGGTTGGGTGGCGATAGCCCCCGCGCCACGCGACATGGTGCCGCCGTCGTGGCCGAACAGGCCACGAAACGCTGGAAGTATGCCCAGCTGATATGACGCTCATTGTGATGATGATGTTGATGATGATGTTGCTGATGGTGACGATGATAAGGAGGATGATGAGGATGATTATGAGGATGATGATGAGGATGCTGATGGTGCTGCTGATGATGGTGAGGTTGATGAGGATGATGATGGGGATGATGAGGATGCTGGTGACGATGCTGATGCTGCTGATAATGGTCATGCTGGTGATGACGATGCCGATGCTGATGGTGATGAAGTTGATGATTGTGGTTATGACAATGATGGCGGTGATGATGATGCTGATGAGGATGACGATGCTGATGACGATGGTTAAGGTGCGGATGCTGATGATGCTGCTGATGATGGTGATGATGATGCCGATGATGATGAGGATGGTCCGTGACGATGATGCTGATGATGATGCTGATGCTGATGCTGATTGTGATGATGTTGATGATGAGGCTGCTGATTATGATGATGCCGCGGATGATGTTGGCGAGAATGATGCTGGTGATGATGATAGTGATGATGATGATCATGATGATGATGATCATGATGATGCTGCTGCTGATGCTGATGATGATGACGATGCTGATGATGTTGGTGATGCTGGTGATGATGGTGTTGGTTGTGATGATGATGTTTGTGATAATATTGATGATGCTGGCGATGATGAGGCTGCTGATGACGATGATGATGATGACGATGATGATGCTGATGCTGGTGATGATGCGGGCGTCGATGATTATGGTGATGCTGATGCTGATGATGCTGATGATGACGATGCTGATGATGATTATGGTGCTGCTGCTGATGCAAATGATGATGATGAGGATGTTTACGATGATGGTTATGATGATGATCGCGCTGATGTTGATGCTGATGCTGGTGATGACGTTGCTGCTGACGGTAATGATGACGATGCTGGTGAGGGCGATGATGATGATGCTGATGATGATGATGATGTTGATGATGATGGTGGTGATGATGATGGTGGTTGTGGTGGTGATGATGATAATGATGATGATGATGGTGATGCTGATGATGTTGTTGATGATGATGATGATGGTGGTGGTGGTGATGGTGATGATGATGATGATGATGATGATGCTGATGCTGCTGATGATGATGATGATGATGATGATGATGATGATGATGGTGGTGGTGGTGGTGATGATGATGATGATGATATTGATGATGACGATGCGGACGAGGAGGAGGAGAAGGCGGAAGAGGAAGAGGAGGAAAAGGAGGATGTGGAGAAAAGGGAGGAAGAGGCAAAGGTGGAGGGGTAGGAGGAGGAAGGAGGAGGGGGAGGAAGAGGAGGAGGAGGGGGAGGAGGAGGATGAGGAGGAGGAGGAGGAGGAAGAGGATGATGACGAGGAGGAGGAGGAGGAGAAGAGGAGGAAGAGAAGGCCGAGGATAATGCCAAGGATGATAAGGATGATGATGATGAGGAGGAGGAGGGAAGAGGAGGAGGAGGAGGAGGAGAGGAGGAGAGGAGGGAGGAGGAGGAGGAGGGAGGAGGAGGAGAGGAGGAGGAGGAGGAGAGGAGGAGGGGGAGGGGAGGAGGGGGAGGAGGAGGAGGAGGAGGAGGAGGAGGAGGAGGAGGAGGAGGAGGAGGAGGAGGAGGAGCAGGAGGAGGAGCAGGAGGAGCAGGAGGAGCAGGAGGAGGAGGAGGAGGAGGAGGAGGAGGAGGAGGAGGTTGATTAGGAGGAGCAGGGGGAAGGGGAGGATGGGGCGGGAAGGGGAGGAGGGATGGGGGGAGGAGAGAATGAGGAGGGAATGGAAAGGCATGGAAGGGAAGGAACGGGGGGGGAGAGGAAAGGAGGATTGAGGGCAGGGGGCGGAAGGGGAACGAAAGGGAGGGAAGGAAGGGAGGGGAAGGCCGATGCATAGGCCTCCTTTTTCCTTCCTCCTCCTCTTCCTCATCTTCTTGTTCTTCTTCTTCCTCCTCCTCCTCTTCCTCTTCCTCCTCCTCCTCCTTCTCCCCCTCCTCCTGGGGTCGGCCCTGCAGGTCGACCCCGCACAGCTGCGACGCGCCCGACTCCGCTGGCCACTACAGCAGCTGCGATCCGGCCGGGTGCGGGGCCAGCACGCGGGAGTCGACCCCTCCCCGCCCCCTTGAGGGGAGATGGATCCCTAATTGACGGGGCTAGGAGGACGTGGATAAATCCGTTCACATGCTTTCAGAGAGTGCTGGAAAGCTCTGACAAGGACGCGGCGCCCGACACATCATCCAGAGCCGCTGGATCTTCTCAGAGATTCTCGACTTATCCTCGCCCGATTTTGTCCTCGTCCTGGCTTCGTCTTACCCTGACCAGTTCAAAGAGGAAGGAGTTATCCAGGTTCGGATCGAGATTTTCGCCTCGAGGGAAGGTTCTTCCCAGGCCTAGATCGCCCCTTTCACAATGGTCTGGAGGGAGGGAGGTAGGGAGGGAGGGCGGAGGAGAAGGAGAAGGAGGAGGAGGGGCGGGAGGAGGAAGGGGGTGAGGATGCTCTTCAGGGCATTCAGTTGATGCGAAGAGAAAGCCAGAGCCCCTGTTTGCGTGGTTACGGCGACATCGTCGAGAGGCGGCACATTCCAAGCGTTGGCGTTCCGAGCGGAGCTTGTGCCTTCGAATTATTCAGATTCAGTTCTATGATCAGAATAACGGAGTCGACTCGTTGACAGGAGGAGGGTGAGGGAGGAGGAGGAGCGGAAATGAGGAGGACGAGTGAGGAGGGAGGAGTGGGTTTCGCCACCAGCCGTCCGATCTGTCGCTGATCGGGAGTTTCTGTCTCTAGTGGCCTGCGTTTCATCCAGCAACCGTGCCTGGACTGTGGGCCTCTTTGGATCTCTTGGGGATGCCTCTCGGGGGCCTCTTCGAGGCTTCTTGGGGCGACTTCGTTGTAGTGGTAGTGTCAAGTGCAGTGGTGCCGACATTAATAATAGTAAGGGTGTAGTAGTCTGATATGCTCGCGCATATATTTGTTTCCAGGTGCTTTCGCACGACAGGTGGTATAATCACGCGTGATGCTATCAGTATGAAGAGCAGCGGTTATGACATGTCGTCATGGGAATTGGGTGCGAACGCTGTTGTCTCAGCCACAATCCGACGACGTCGTGTAAACCATAAACAGGTTGCACTAATTAGAGCAAGCGTTTCGATGAGGGCGACGGTCAGAGCTAGGCAGAGGAGGGTGAGGACGAGGAGCGCAATGCTCTTGGAGCGTCGTGGAGCCAATCGTGTTCGAATGCGTACTGTGCTCGCAACCAATCTGCGGTTCGTCGTCTCACCTCTCTGAGCCGCAGGATATGCCTGGTGATGTCTACGGCCCAGGGGACAACTTCCTCATCAACACGAGGCTCGCGTAGCTTAGGTGCACGATTGCCGCATCGTCGCGACAGTGGCTCTGACTGGGGACCAGTACGCTGTAGTCTTTATTCGAGGAGACGATTGGTCATGGCCTTTCTGCTTCGTCCTCGCTGTTCGGAGGACGTTCCCCGATTCGGTAACGAACGGCTGCAAGACCACACATAATCGTCTTCCACCATCTCGATGCCTCTTGGAGGCCTCTTGAGGTCCTGTCCTGGGCCGTCTTGGGGCTTCTCCAGGCCACAAGGCACCTCACCATGCCTCCCTGGACGGCAAGCTTCGAGGGCATTCCCCTTCCCCGCGCGCTCGCTAAACGTTGCTGGTCTCTGGCGCTGTCAGCAGGGCTCATCTCAAGGGCCTTCTGGGAGCTTCTTGTGGAGCTTCTTGGGGCGCTGCCGACCAATTGGGCCGTCTTACCGATGTCTTGGCCCCTTGTGAACCCTCTTCGTTATTCGAGTATTTGTTTAACACCTTCATGGCCCTCTTTCAGATCTTTGCGAGCATGCTTTGATCAGCCTCGGATTTCTACGGGATGCTGAAGAAGGGATGACACGACGATAACATGAAAACGATTCAAGATGAAAAGCTGTTGCCAGGGAACGCACTGGGCTTCTCGCTAGACACTTCCTAGACCTTTTTGATCCGAACTCTTGGCATTTCTGATTGGTGGGAAAATGGATTGTGAACGGGGTGCTCGCCCGAATTGCACTGACATGTGGCGCTCGTCTCGCAATGGCGCGCTTGCTGCCGCGGAAGAGTGCTCGCCGAGACTGATGCTGTAGCATCGCTGATGCATCCTGGGTTTACTTTGGTCCTCCTCCTCCTCCTCCTCCTCCTCCTCCTGGGTTTACTTTGGTCCTCCTCCTCCTCCTCCTCCTTCTTGCCCCCTTCCTTCCTGGGGCGCGCCGACCTCCCCCAAACGCCAGACGTCGCCAAAGCATCACGGCGCCTCGAGGACGCACCAGCGGAATCCTCGGCCCCACCTTCGCAGGCCCAGGCATTGACACCAGCACCAGTTTCGGCGGTGTGCCTCCCCCGAGTGAAGGCTATCCCGATCTCGGCGATGGCGGTCAAGTTCTGGCTTCCAAGGTGGCCGAACTGCTGCCACTGACGCTGACATCCAGGATCACCTTCCCCCTGTGGAGGCAAGCCCCTGTGCTGGTGCTGGTGCCCATTTCCAGGCCGCACCTGAGGGAAAAGCCTGGGAGCAACCAGCCTTCGCCCCCTGGGCCCCTCGCCTCCCTGCTTCAGCGCGAGCGCCACTGCGCGGTGGGGCTGGAGAGCGGGGGCTTCGATGATGCGGCAATCCTCGATCTTGTGGACGAGGCCAAGGGAGACGATGAAGAAGCCCAGCTCCTCCAGCATCCGTGCGCGATCCTCGAGCCACTGCCGACGCGGGAAGGCCCCGCGAGCTTTTGAGCGGGGCAGTCAGGGGCCGCCAGCGACCTCGTGCACGGCGCCCGGCTGCCAGGGTCAGCTCGGGCATCGGCGTCGTCGCGGCGGACTTCCTCCTCCTCCTCCATATCCTCCTCCTCCTCCTCCTCCATATCCTTCTTCTCCTCCTGCTCCTCCTCCTCCTGCTCTTCCTCCTCCTCCTCCTCCTCCTCCGGATGCCGGATGTCAGCTTCCCCGCGGCGTCGCAGCATCGGGCCCGGGGCCGCCGCTCGGGGTGGCCTCCGGGGACTGCCCAGAGGGCCTTCGGCCCAGCCGGGGCGAGTGTCAAAGCCACGCTGGGGCCTGGAGTGGTTCCACCACCACTGCCATATATAGCTGCCATAGAGAGGAGTGGGAGGAGGAGGAGTAGGGGGAGGGGGAGGAGGAGGAGGAGGAGGAGGAGGAGGAGGAGGAGTTAATTATATCGAGCGTGACTGGGTCAGGAGAGTGGTAGTATGGTTGTTACCGAGCGTGCGTGGCGATCCATGCCTGTTGGCGCAAGCGATTGATCGTTAGCGTTCGTGTCCAGCGTACCTGTCTGAGAAAGCATCGTTATCGTTCCCGTACCTATCCTCCCCGAGGATTAGCATGGTAGCGGAGCGAGGTTATCTCGCGCACAATGGCGGGCGCTGCCGCTGCCGCGGCCGCTGTGGGGCCAGGATATTCAGGGCGTGAGTTAGACACGCCAGAAGACCAGGAAAGGTGCGTCAACCTTAACCCGGCCCCGTTCATGGAGCTGTGCGAGGCTGCCTTTACAATGGAAGCTACAGTCGCGTGGCTGTCGCGTTGCGAGCCAACCATCAAAACATGAAAGAGTTCAACGAACGACCTGCCCCAGAAGATGAATTCGCTGTTGCTAAATTTGGCAAATAGGAAAACGTACGCCGAGAACGAGTCGAACATATTCAAGGACAGGTTAGAGAGCGTAGAAGACCAAGTGGACGTGCAGAACATGACATTTGACAACCATTACCAAGATACCAGAGTCCATAGCGGAAAGCAGACATAAACTGGCTCACTTGGCTACCAAACCGACTAGCGAGTACAACGACATTCAGCAGTCAATAACATTCGCTGGTGATCGAGGCAAGTTCCGGGAATGGAGCGATCAGTTTCTTAACGCCTGGGCACAGGTCAATCCGAGTTACCGCAAGGCACTCAATAACCTGAACAAGCTGAAAACAGTGGATACTCTCTAGAGGAGGATGAAGACGACATGGCGAGGATACGTTGCGGTCGGTTTACGGCAGCTGAATGCACAAAAGCGCGAGCGGTTGAACAACAAGATGATGACGATAAAGGTGACCTTGAATTCGTGAGCGATCAAATGAGGACCTGTGGTGCGTCCTCGACGAAAGGCTGGACGGGGTAGAGCCGCGGGGAAATCTGAAAGGTTTTCATTGAAGGAGACGGACTGCGGGCGTACCGCAAAAGCATTCAAGTGGTACTCGGCACTTACTGGCGGTGTCTTTTTGGCCAAGGTGAGTTTTGCCATGGGCCCGGACGAGCCAAAAATAACGGGAGACATGGCGTCGCAGTTAGAGCTGTGGACGTCATTAGTGGAAACGCTGGAGAAGTACGGACCGGCGTTTTCATTGAACCTGCCGTTCCGCATCGCCGAATTGCAAACCATCATGTCACGTGCCGGTGACTGGTTCTCGGATTGGCACCTGGGCTATTTCAAATTTCTGCTTCGTCAGCACAGGGAAGCTATCATAATCTGAGTGTGGACTGCGAGGATCGGGCCGGGGTGGAGAGGTCAGAAGCGGACGTGCAGGCCCCGATGCTGTGGACAGTGGAGGCTTTGATAACGTCAGTGACGACAAGTGAGAAGGTGAACGCGAGTGGAATGATGCAGGCTGCGTCGATGACAACGGCTGCTTGTGGCCAGACGAAGATTGGTGCCAGTGGGACCAGGAGGGGGAGGGAGGTAAGGGAGGTAAGAGGAGGTTGTTTCTTGAAGGAGTGCGCATGTGCACCTTTGGGGGGAAAGGCTCGAGGTCCGAGGTTTTCGTTTTTTTTGTTGTTGTTGCCTGTTTTCGGCGGCTCTCCAGCCTCAGGGTGCCTTTCGGCAGCTGCGCCCCGCCGAGAGCGTTCCAGGGGTGCTCGGGTCGTCCCGAACGGCCGCCGCAGAGTCGAGTGATGGCCCGAAAACCAGGGGGCAACGCTAGGGAGGGATAGGCTCAAGGGGGGATGCATCGACTCCCTATCGTTCATTGATCGCCGATGGGGTCCCCATGGGCCCTCTCCGCCAAGGAACGTCCAGTTTCGCTATCGGAGGCCTGTCGCCGATCTATTGGCGAGGTGTCGCGGATTCCAGCTCGATGTCACCCCCCTTCCTGAGCCGGTACCTTTCTAACGATCCTCCTCAGAAAAAGGAGGGATTAGAGCGGCGGGGCTACCCCTTACAGGTAGCACGCTTGGTACTCGTAGTTCTTGTCCTGACCTTGAGCTGGCCGGTTTCGCCTTGGCTCGTCTGTCTCCGAATTGGTCGTTCTGTACAGCTAGGTACGGTAGTGCTCGTAGTCTATGTTGTCGTCTGGTCGTAACACTTGTCGAAGGACGCCTTGAAAGTGAACAGCAGTTCGACAAAGTCGGCGACGCCTGGTTGTCCTTCGGCGGCTGGCATATCGGACAGCGACAACAAGGTGGCCAGCGCAGCCGTTGGGACAATGACATCATCACGTTCTTTCAGCATCACAAGACCAACCTGTACCCATCACCCACATCAGCCAATGCAAGCTGCCAGACGAACGAGTTTACCTGTGTCCGCTTGGCTCACTACATCTAACCCGGTCGACATTCGGGCACCAGTACATCGACACAGTATGACGTTGACATCCACAGCCAGGACCTCCTCCTCCTCCTCCTCCTCCTCCTCCTCCTCCTCCTCCTCCTCCCCCTCCCGTGTTTTTTTGGTCTCGCAGTTCCACAGAATGTCTGTGTTTTCGCACGTGCCAGATCCGAAAGGCCAAGGCCGGCCTCCCCCACCTGGTCTTGGAGGGCCCGGACGTCTGTCCGCTGCGGTGGTTCGTTTTTTGTTTCTTTGTTTTCGTTCTCGAGAGCGAAGGTGTCGAGTCGCCGTGCTTGAGGGCGCGGGCTTTGGCCCGGATCTCCATGCCGAGCTGCCTCTCAGGGCGCTTGCCAGCCATCTCAAGGTTGCCCGCCTTTCACCACCCACCAAACCACCCCAACCCAACCCGAAGGCTCAGATTTACCCTCGATTTCCAGTGGTGGGGGGGGGGTCGGGAAACATAGAAAAAACACATGTGGAACCCTTACCCCCCCCATCCCGAAATTCGGGTCTTCGGGTTGGGTTGGGGTGGTCTGGTAGGTTGCCCGCCTTGACGCGTCGGAGTGCCCTCCGCGGAAGGAGTACCCGTGGGAGCCGCGTCCGCGTCGTAGGGGCCCTGCACCCCCTCGAGGCCTTCCAGGCTCTGGCCTCGTGCGGAGTCCGAGGGGCCGCGCCGGCTTGAGGTTTTGCCTCTGGTTGGCATGCTCTTTGGGTGGTTCTCGTGTGCAGGGCTCGAGCTAAACGGTGTTTTGGCAATTTCGTGGGCCGTTTTCGTTTCGACTTCGTTCTGCAGCAGATGCGGCACGAAGACAGAGCCAGGGACGACGAAAACAAAGCGAAAACGGAAAGCACTGTTTCACTCGAGCCCTGCTCGTACGTCCTCGTAGCTCAGCTGGCGGCCTTGCTACTTGCCGGTGATGCTCTGCCGGTGACCGTCGGAACTCTGCTCGTTGCTCTCGTAGCTCCGGGCGTGGCTCCGCGTCGCTCCACACGCGGCCCCCGTAGCTCTGCCGGTTGCCCTCGTGGCTCTGCTGGTGGCCCTCGCTGCGCTCCCTGTTGCCCTCGCAGCTCCGCGTGGGGTCCGAAGAGCTCTAAGCTCGTGGCCCTCGCAGGTCTGCTGGTGTAGGGGGCCGCATGCGAATCCTACCCCTACCTCCCACGATTTCTGAGGGGGAGGGTGGGGTTCACTTCGTTCGGGAGGTCACGAGCGAAGTGAACCCCACCCTCCCCGTCAAAAATCGTAGGGGGTAGGGGTAGGGTTCGCATGTGGCCCCCTATGGTGGTCCGCGCAGTTCTGCTGGTGTCCGTCCCTCTCGTGGCCAGCGTGGCTCTGCCACGCGGTCCCCTGCGTGCGGCTCCGAAGGTTCTGCGCGTGGCCGCCGCAGCTATTGCGGGTGGTCCGGGCGGCGCTGCGGGCGTCCCCGAGAGCTCGGCTGGTGGCCTGCGTGCGGTAGGTTCGTGTCGTGTCGACCGGCGGCGACCCCGCCAGCGGCGTTCAACCTTGAACGCCGCGGGGGAACCCAGAATCGTTCGATGTGGAACGATTTGGACGTTTCGGAAACGGCCGATCGTTCAAGGTTGAACGATCCCCGCGGTGTCAGAAACCAACGCCGGGGTCGACACGACGCGAACCTGCCGTACTTTTTTTCCTGTGGCCGGCAGCACTTCCCGGCGGCGCACCGTCGCGCTGTGGGTGGCCCTCGTAGCTCCGCAGGCGGCTCTGCGCGGTGCCCCTGGGGGTTCGGAGTGTGGCCTCCGCTTCCCTGCGGTGGCCCTCGAGGCTGCGCTGGTGGCCCGCGCAGCTCTGCTGGTGGCCCTGGCAGCTATGCCGGTGGCCCTCGCAGCTCTCTGCTTTTATGGCCCTCGTGGGCTCGCCGGTGGTCACCGTGGCTCCGCGTGCTGCTCCTCTCTTCCGAACAAGCCCAGGCCGCCTCCTCTTCGTCCCCGTGGTCCAAGTCGCAGTCGCCAGCTGCCTGGTGGTGGTGCTCCGCTTTCCAGATGCCCTCGTCAACCCTTCTTGGTCTGGGTGGCCTGGTCGGCGTGGAAAATTCCTCGTCCTGCTCGAAGTCCTCCTCCTGGTGGCATCCGTCGTAGGTGGGGCCCATGCCCATCCCGCCGGACAAATTTCGGGCAGGGGCGGCGCGCCAGGGTGCGGAGCGTAGCTCCGCTCGTCGTGGTACGCCCAGTATCCGCAGTGGTCGTGAGCGTAGGTGGAGTCGTCTTCGTAGACGTGCGGCTCAGGGACGAGGGCCGGGGCACCAGGGTTTCAGCCGAAGCCTCGGTCGTCCTCCTCCCTCCCTCCGCCTCCTCCTCCCTATCCTCCTCCTCCACCACCTCCTCCTCCTCCTCCTCCTCCTCTGTCTCCTCCTCTTGTAGGCCGGGTACCCTGGCCCAGCCTGCAGTGGACGCCATCATGAAGGCGGCCGTGGCGATGATCGTGATGCCGCTGGGGTGCGGGTGTAGCCCGTGTCGGATGAGACACCCCGCGCGCATTCGAGCCGCATCTATTCTTCCCCACATGGTTCTGCTCGTATTGTGTCTCGGAATGGTTCCTGGTATATCTCCACTCCGCGTGGGTGGTCTCGTGGCCTTTAGCTTCTGTGGATCTTCGGGCACACCACGTGAATGTCCCCGTAGAGTCTACGTAGAGTTCGAGCTTTCCGCGCAGGGCATACTGCAGTTCACGTGGATGGGAACACTTCACGCAGCTCGTACAATAGGTCGCACAGGTCGCGAAGTATTTTTTGCGCCTATCGTAAAGTATTCAACTCAGATCGTAGGATGTTTCACGTGGATTTTTGAGGCAGTTGCACGCGCCCGTATCCCGCGGTGGGCCAGGGCTGGCCCCGCATGAGCATGCCGGCGGGAATCGGGGCGCCATTGAGCCCGAGTGGCTCGTGCCGAATCTGCTTGAGCGACAGTGGCTTCGGACCCCCGCCTCCCTCCTCCCCTACTATTCCTCCCCCCTCCTCCCTCCTCCCTCCTCCCTCCCTCCCTCCTCCCTCCCTCTCTCCCTCCCTCCCTCCTCCCTCCTCCCTCCCTCACTCCCTCGTTTCTCATCCCTCCCTCCAAGCCTACATTGCAGGCGTCCCTGCAGGTGTTGCGTGCCTCCCTTCTCGTCTCCCTCCATGTTCCCATTCCTCTCCTCCTCCTCCTCCTCCTCCTCCTCCTCCTCCTCCTCCTCCTCGTCCTACTCGTCGCCCTCCTCCTCCTCCTCCTCCTCCCTCCCTCCCTCCTCCTCCCTCCCTCCCTCCCTCCCTCCCTCCCTCCCTCCCTCCCTCTCCCCCCTCCCTCCCTCCCTCCCTCCCTCCTCCCCTCCTCCTCCCTGCTCCCTCCTCCCTCCGAACCAGGGCGGCGAAGGAGAGCGCGCGGCCGCCTGGCCTGCGTGGGCCCTGCGGTCCCACCGCCAGGCGCCTCGCGGTCCCACCGCCAGGCGCCTCCGCGCGGGCTGCCGCCTGCAGCCGCGAGTTTCCGGCACCCGCCCAGCGCCCCTCCTCCTCCTCCTCCTCCTCCTCCTCCTCCTCCTCCTCCTCCTCCTCCTCCTCCTCCTCCTCCTCCTCCTCCTCCTCCTCCCTGCGCGGCGCGCCCGCGCCCCAGTGCCGCCGCAGCTGGCGCCCCAACGGCCCGTCTTGCGCCCCCGCGCCGCCCAGGGCCTCGGCCGGGTTGTTCGGCGGCCTGGCAGCGCGGCGCCGCCCCGCGCCTCGCCGGCCCCCTCCGCGGCCGCGGCCGGCAGCTTGGGCCGGCGACCGCCACGGCCACGGCCAGGCCCCGGCGGCGCTCAGCAGCATCGCGGCCGTGCCACGCGCCACCGCGACGACCAAGCGCTGCCGCACGTCGGCCAGCGCGGCCGCGCGGTCTGCGCCAGGCGCGTGGGCGCGCAGGAAACCCTGCAGCTCCGCCCCCATGCGGCCGCCAGCCTCGACGACGGCGGCGCAGAGACCAGGGCCAGGGTAGCGGGCGGGTTTCTCCCGCTCCCGCTCTCGCGCCACGACGCCAGCCGTCGGCGGCTTTCAGGGCCCCGCGGGCGCCAGGCCTACCTTCCTTCCTCCTTTCCTTCCCTCCTCCCTCCTCCCTCCTCCCTCCTCCCTCCTCCCTCCCCCTCCTCGCTCCTCCCTCCTTTTTCCTCTTCCCCCCCCCCCGCTTCCCCCTCCTCCCCCTCCTCCTTCTCCTCCCCCTCCTCCCCCTTCTCCTCCCCCTCCTCCCCCTTCTCCTCGCCCTCAGCCTCAGCCGCCTCCTCCTCCTCCTCCTCCTCCTCCTCCTTCCCCCCTCTCGCCCTCTTTGCCCTCCTCTTCCTCCTCCTCCGGCCTCGTCGTCGCTGGTACCCTCAGGCTGCCCTTCTCTGTGCGCACGACGTTCGTCGGCGGCACCACGGCGCGGTGTCCCACCTTCTTGTCGGCGGGAGGAGGAGAAGGATGATGGAGGATGCAGGAAGTGGAGGATGATGAGGAGGGAGGGTTTAAGTAATGGAGGGAAGAGGGGGAGGAGGAGGAGGAGGAGGAGGGACGAGGAAGAGGAGGAAGAGGGGGAAAAGGAGGAGGAGGAGGACAACGAGGATGATGATGCTGATGATGCTGGTGCAGGTGATGCTGGTGCTCATGATGTTGATGAGGATGGTGCTGGTGCTGGTGATGATGAGGATGATGATGCGGATGCTGATGCTGATGCTGATGTTAATGCTGATGCTGACGATGCTGATACTGATGAAGATGATGGTGACGCTGCTGAGCTGGTCGTGTTGGTGGTGATCATGACGATGCTGATGATGGTGTTGTTGATGGTGGTGGTGCTGCTGCTGATCATGATGAAGACGACGACAATGTTGATGATGACGGTTATGCTGCTTGACGACGCCGGTGACGACGACGATGATGATGACGATGATGATGGTGATGGTGATGTTGTTGATGATGATGTAGCTGACGTTGCCGCTTCTGCAGCTGCTGCTGCTGATGATGATAATGTTTCTCTTGTGGTTGCTGTTGTTGTTGTCGCCGTCAACCACGTCGTCGTTGTAGTCGTCGTCGTTGTTGTAGTTGTTGTTGTTGTTGCTGTTGTCGTTGTCGTTGTGGTTGTTGTTGATGTTGATGTTAGTAATTAGTAATGGTGGTGTTGATGATGCTATGAGGCTTGCTAATATGGTTATGATGATGGCAATGCTGCTGCTGCTAATGATGATGAAGACGACGACGCTGTTGATGATGACGACTATGCTGCTGACGACGCCGGCGACGACGATGATTATGGTGATGCTGCTGATGATGATGGTGATGATGATGATGATGATGATGATGATGATGGTGATGATGATGATGATGATGATGATGATGTTATCGTTATCGTTGTCGTTGTCGTTGTCGCTGTCGTCGTCGGTGTTGCTGTTGTTGCTGCTGCTGCTGTTGTGGTTGTTGTGGTTGTGGTTGTGGTTGTGGTTGTGGTTGTGGTTGTTGTTGTTGTTGTTGTTGTTGTTGCTGTTGAAGTTCCATTTCTAAGATATTACTATTGTTGATTCCCCCTGCCTGGTAACCATTGCTATGTTTTTGATTAAAAGTGTTTCTCTCAGGGCTCGCACCCAGTTTTTTCAAGGAAGAGCGAGGGCTCACCAAACTGCGTTGTAGGGCCCCGAGCTACAACAACAAAGGCCCTCGCTCCATACTTTCTCACAATGTATTCTCAAATCGTGCGCCTGGGCCCGCCTTCTCGCTCCGCCCTTTAGGTTCTACCCGCCCGATCTTCCTGTCTGGTTCTACCATGTGCTTTCTGCTCCTAGCCCCCCTCCTGCTACTCTCTCTCATGCTCCATCCTCCTCGCTCCCCCTTGTCCCTTCCTTCCATCCGTCCTCTCTTCCCCTGCCATAGGGGCTGCGCGAAATACAAGTTGCAGGTGCGAAAGATATGTACCCCCAAGGGGGTACGATGGAAGACGAGGAGGGCGGGTATCGAGGATTTGGGGTATACATTTTGAATGGCACGCGAGGAGCAGATAAGAGCGAGCAGTCTTGAACTGGTTGTTGTTGCTGCTGCTGTTGTTGTGGTTGTTATGATTGTGATAGTTGCTTTTAGTGTTTTTTTTATGGTTGCTGTGGTTGTTGGGGTGTTTGCCATTGTTGTTGCTGTGGTGGTTGTGGTTGTTGTTGCCGTCGTTGCTGTTGTTGTTGCGATGGTTGTTGTTGTTGATGTGACTGGTGTTGTTTTTGCTGATGTTGTTGTAGTTGTTAGTTGTGATTTGGATTCTGACTCGGATGATGATGATGCTGATGATGATGCTGCTGCTGATGATGATGATGATGATGATGATGATGATGCTGATGCTGCTGATGATGATGCTGCTGATGATGACGATGATGATGACGATGATGATGATGCTGATGATGGTGAGGAGGAGGAGGATAATGAGGATGATGATGATGCGGAGGATGATGGTGATGATGCTGATGATGCTGATTCTTATGTTATGATGATGCTGATGATGGTGTTGATGATGATGATGATGATGATGATGATGATGACGATGCTGCTGATGATGCTGCTGGTGCTGCTTCTGATGACGATGATGATGCTGATGATGATGACGACGATGATGATGAGAAGGAGGAGGATGAGGATGATGATGATCAGGAGGAGGAGGAGGCAGAGGATGAGGAGGATAAGGAGGACGAGGAGGAGGAGGGTGAGGAGGAGGCGGGCGATGAGGAGGGCGAGGATGAGGCTGACGTGGAGCAGGATGAGGAGGATTAGGGCGAGGAGGAGGAGGCAGAGGATGAGGATGATGAGGATGATGAGGATGATGAGGAGGAGGATGAGGAGGAGGACAAGTGTAAACCCAAGAGTCATCAAAGATGTTGGAATAAACCCTCCCTCCAAGCTCCCTCTTCATAGGCCCTTACAACGGTTCATTTCCATTGAGGGAACTGCCTCGTTCGAAGACAATTGTTTGAAGACCTTGGAGAATGCCAAAACACTGTTCTCTGGTTTCCAACGCCACGGATGAACCTGAGTGTTGCGTTTTGACGGTCCTGAATCGTGCCAGAACGCCATTCCTTGGACTTCAACACAGCGAATCAACATAACTGTGAAGCTCCGTGAAGCTCTTGCAAATTTTGGAAGCGAATGTGCGCGGCGCTACGGCGAGAACCACATTTTGAAAAGGAATGCCCTCAATCCGTGAAACTCTTGCAACTCTTTAAAACGAAGGTGTGCTGGGCTGAGGCGAGAGCCACATTTTGAAAACGAGCCGCCCTCAATCCGTGAAGCTCTTGCAAATTTTTGAAACGAATGTGCGCCGCGCTAAGGGGAGAGCCGCATTTTGAAAACCACCCGCCCTCCATCTGTGAGTTGCCAATGTTTAAGTTACAGAGTCGTAAATGGTGAGTAAGTCTCAGGCGAAACGCCCGGACCGCCCTAAAACCTGGCCTCGGGGTGCGACAGGAAGAAGTTTTGTATAAGGAAAAAGGAATGGAGAATGAGGAGGAGGAGGCAGGCGATGAGGAGGGCGAGGATGAGGCGGACATGGAGGAGGATGAGAAGGAGGAGGGCGATGAAGAGGAGGACAATGAGGAGGAGGAGGAGGATGAGGAGGGGGGAGGCGAAAGCGGAGGTGGAGGACCAGATCAGCAGAAATCCGCTGACACCATGACACCTCAAGTCGACAAGTCGGATCGGGGGAGGCGAAGCCTCAACATAAACTGAATGAGCTCAGGACTATGAGGGCAAGTATGCCTCCGTCTTGAGGTCAAGGCCTCGTCGCACCAGGTAGGCCTTAGGATTCTGGTTGGCACGAGTGGAGGGGTTGGCGGCTGGTCCAGGACACTGGGCGTTCATCTTGGACCGCCCACTTCACCCCTCATCCCTAGGGCAAGTGGCCCGTGGACCCGTGAGACAATACAGAGTGGACGCCCACGAAAAGCATCCAGCCCGTCTGATGCCCTTCCTGGCGGCTCTTCTACGGGCCCTAGGACCTCGGCCGCAGCCGCCAGGGCATTTTTACAAACGGACCCCTCTCGCATACTGGAGTATCAGGGAATACTTGATCGTTTTTTTTGAAGAAAGACCGCGCCGATCTAGCTTGGATCCGGAGCTGTACACATTCGCCAATGAACTGATCTTGGGTATGTTCTTCTGGTCGGCCCCCCGCCAGACATTTGCGATAACCGAATTCACCCGTTCCAAATCGGGACGAGCCGTGCGGACTGATACGGACGATCATGCGGATGACAACGACAATGATGACGGTGATGCTGTTGGTGATGCTAATGATATTGGTTTAGCTGGTTACGATGGTGATGGTGGTTGTGATGGTGGTGTGTGTTGGTAACGGTCCACGGTCGTGGTGATGACATGGCGATGATTTCGACGACACGGCGGCGATGACGCCGACGACGGCGATGACGATGGTTAGGTAGTTGTGACGATGGCAGTGATGAATGTGATGCTGTCAAGGTCGCTCGTGCAGATTTTGATGACAGTTGTTGTGGCGATCCTGATGGTGGAAATGGCGGTGGTGAGGATGCTTATATTGATGCGGACGAGGCAGAGGATGCCTGCCATACCAGCGACTTGCAGTTTCGCGGGCGCGTGCCAGCTCGACGGGTTCGAGGCCAAGCTGGTCCAGGGCGACAACGTTGTCACATTGGATCACGCAGGAGGGTGCGTGGGCGGAAGCACCAGGGACTTGCCAGGCAGAAGAGCACCAGGGAGAGGATGCTTGGGAGGGGAGGATGAGGAGACGGAGGGGAAGAGCACCAGCAGTGGACCCGCCAGTTGTAAAGCGGGGTTCGTCTCCACAGGACCCCGCCCCCTCCCTCCTTACCTTCAACGGGGTGGTGTGCTCCCCCCCCGTCTCCCTCTCCTCCCAGAGGGTGGGGCCCAGTTCCTCTCTCCCCCCCCCTTGGCGCTGGCAGAGGCCTCCGCCCCTCCCCCCCCCCTCCCCGCCTCCTCTCTCTGGCGGCGGCCGGGGGGCGGGACGGCGAGCGCTCCGGCGCGCGGGAAGGCGTCTCAAGTCAAGGGGTTCAGGTGATCAGGTTTGGGTGTTGGGCTGAGGGTTGGGGCTCAAGGCTGGGGTTTGTGCTCAGGGCTGTGTTGTTGTTGTGTTCAGGGCGTTACGGTCGGGTTTGACAGGGTTCATTTCACAGCACTTGGGGCTGGCGTGCTGGGGTTTGGGTGTCAGGGGCAGGGTGTCAGGGCTGGAGTGTGCCGTTCAGTGTGTTCATGCCAGTGCAGAGTGCCTAATGCTTGGGGCTAGGGGGTCAGGTTTCTAGCTCCTAGGGTTAGGGTCAGGGTGTTAGGGCGACGTTGTTAGGGTGAATGTGTCTGAGATTATGGTGTAAGAGTTCGGGTTCGTGCGTTTGGTGAGGGTCGGGGTACTAATTTTCTTAACTTGAAGATTAAGATGCTAAAGCTTATGGCTATGCATGCTGGTTGTTTGTTTGGTTTGTTAGGGTTTGTGCTCAGGGTTGGGTATTTTATCGGGTTCGGACGTTCGAATTAGGTGTTTTGCTTATGATTCGGAATTGGGTGTTAGGAGTTAGTGTGTCAGGGTTCAGTGCGTTATGGTCCAGGGGTTAGGATATTAGGGTCAGGGTGTCAGGGTTAGATTGTTGGTGTGGTAGGGTTTAGTGCGTCGGTTTAGGTGTACTGCTCAGGGCTGGGGTTCTGCTGGGAGGGCTTAGTGTGTTCGGAAACAGATAGGGCTTATGATCCAGCGTAAGGGCGTATGGTCAGACTTGGGGGTAGTGCTTCGGATGGGGGTGAAGGGAGTAGGATTGGGATATCACGGTTTATATAGGGCCAGTGCCCAGGGTTGGGGTTCAGGGGTCCGCCTCAGGGCCGGGCTGGTTCGGTCCTCAGGGTCAGGGCTCGGGCCGAAGGGGCGGCGGCGGGCGGCCCCGCATCCCTGTGCGGCGCCCCTCGCCCCACACCCGCCAACCCCGCCGCCCCCCCTGCCACCCCCATCGCCCTTTTCCTGGAAGGCCCGAAGACGACCCAGCACAGCCCAACAGGACGGCCCCGGAGGGCTCCGGCGTGGCCCCACGATGGCCCCAGGGATGGCCCCAGGATGGCGTCTTGGGCGACCCCTGGGGCAGTCTTTGAGGCCCCCGGGGCCGTCTTGGGCCGTCGGCGGGCCGCCTTGGAGCCAGTGCCGTATCCTTCAGCGGGGCCTCCGCGGCTCCAGAGCAGCCGCGGAGAGGACCACGCCGCCGGGGCCCGCGGGCCTCGCTTTCCTTTCCGCCTCCTGCGGGGCGGCCCTCGGCGGTGCCCCCTCGCCGACGGAGGCGGCCACCGCGGCGGCGCCCTGCAGGGGGCCGCGGCAGAGCCGTGCGCGCACGCCGCCGGACGCCGTTGGGGGCGGGCCCGCGCCCCCCTGCCGCGTGCCCGCCCGCCCCGCCAGGCCCGGCCTCCCGCCTGCGCGCTCGTCGCCGTCTGCCTGCTTCGCCCCTCCTCTTCCCCCCGTCGCCGGGCAGCACGGCCTGCCCGGGGAGCAGCGCGGCGGCGCGCGGGCCATGGACGCGCGCCTCGACGCGGGCCCGCGCTCGTGTCCCTGCCCCTGCCACGGCCCCGCCGTGGCTCGTCACCGGCCAAGTCGTGGTCCTCCGAGTTGGCCGCGTCGTGCCGACCGCCGCGGCGACACCTCCCACCTCCGCCTCGCCCGTCGGCCTAGGATATGCATAGGGGGGGATGCATCGACCCCCAATCGCCCATGGATCGCCGATGGGGGGTCTGATGGCCCCACCCCGCCCAGGAAAGTGCGGATTCGCTATCGGGGGTCTATCGCCGATCCGCCGACGATTCGTGGCCGATTCCAGGTCGATCTGTGCCCTTCGATGCCACTCACTCGCCAGTCCGCGCTCCACCACCGCCGATCACATCAGGAGCTCCGACGGGGGCCAGCTCGCCGCGCGCGCCGCCGCCCCCACGGGGGCCCCGCCGGCGCCGAAGCGCCGCCAGGCCGCCCGCAGGCGCAGGCGCGCCGAGGGGCCCCGAGGGCTGTGACGGCTGCACGCAACCGTGCTGCGGCTGCGCGCAGCAGCCGAGCTCTCGCAGCCGGGGCGTCCGCGGCGCGCGGGGCAGCAGGGAGGCGGACCTCGCGAGGTGGACTTGTGCCGAAAGGGGCTGAGGAGGAGGAGGAGGAGGAGGAGGAGGAGGAGGACGAGGACGGGCTCCGGGAAGATCAGGAAGAAAGAGAGACAGTGGACGAGCAATCCTATGGCGGAGGGCGGAGGGATGCCGTGTTTCAGGAGACCAGTACATCTTAATTATTGTCATTTGTCAACCAGGCTCATGCTGTTGGCATGAACATCATGCAGTGCACTAGGGCGTTAGCTCTAAATGGCCCTCCCCCTTTTCTTCTTCCTACCCCTCCTCATGTCCTCCTGGCTCCTGGTTCCTGGTGGCTGGAAAGAGCGTCCTGTCCTCCTAATGCTCCTCCTGTTCCTGCTGTTGCTGATCCTCCTGTTCTCCTGCTCCTGCTCTCTCTCTTCTCTTGTAGCGTCGACGACGGTCGACGATATACGACGATCGACCGAAACTGACGGATGATCGCCGACGACGACGATCGATGATGACGACCTGGGGAGGCTGCGCGGACACGCTTGAGCTGCTGAGGGAAGCCGTCGAGCAGGAGATACCCCCGCGCCCGCGTCGTCGCCGTCGTCGCCGTCGTCGTCGTCGTCGTCGTCGTCGTCGTCGTCGTCGTCGTCGTCGTCAACGTCGTCGTCAACGTCGATCGTCGTTGTCGTTGCGCCCGCGCCACGTGGGTTTCGTCGGTATCGTCGTCTTCGTCGTCTTCGTCGGCGTGGTCGTCGGCGTCGGCTTGGTCATCGTTATTGTGGGGGTCGGCGCCAGCGTCGGCGTGGTCCTGGTCGTCGTCGTCGTCGTCGTCGTCGTGGTGGTGTTGGTCGTCGTCGTCTCCGTCGTCGTCGGTGCTCGCAGTCTCGAGGCGGGAGGCGCCCCGATAGCGCCGCTGCCACCTCGGTCTTCTCCGCCGCGCCCCGCTCCCTCCCCAGTTCCCCTGACGAGGAGCTTTTCTGGCATCCGCGGAGGGCAACGTGGGATCGAGGAGAAGCGGCGGAGGAGGAGGCGGAGGAGGAGGAGGAGGAGGAGGAGGAGGAGGAGGAGGAGGAGGAGGAGGAGGAGGAGGAGGAGGGATGCGGCGGGCCGCTGGCGATCCGCGGCGGACGCTGCGGGCTCTGCTCGGCACGCGTGCAGCAGCGCCGCGGCTCGCAGTGGGCGGCGCAGCAGGATGGATGGCTTCGACTCGGCTGGCGGGCCCGTCCAGAACCACTCACCACCCACCAAACCACCCCAACCCAACCCGACGGCTCAGATTTACCCTCGATTCTGTTCTCGGGGGCGCCGCCCCCTGCACAGGAGACGCGTTTTCTGCAGGTCGGCAGGGGGTCTTTTTTCTGGCGGCGGCGGCGGCCACGCCGGAACACCTCTCCGCGGCGCGGCGGGCAGATACGGAAACCATGGAGGATATGTATATGGAAGTCTGGAAAATACGAAGGAGCACAACTGAAACGCTGCATCGCTCTAGCATCGAGGTACCAAGACGTAGACGCTTGAAAGAAGCATTGCAATCTGTACGCTCAGACATCGTACCCCTGTGAACAACCGACTTCACGACGCCGCTTCGAAATGGCGCCCCCAACGCTTTTTCCCCTCCTCGAAGCCCGCCATGTGCTGCTCACCCTCCTTCTTCGCACTCTGCAGCCGCTCGGTGATCTTCAGCACGGCGTCGTCGTCATCCGAAGCATCCACGGACGCAGCCTCTGCGAGCAAAATCTCCGTTTCCTCGAGAAATCTCGCCAGGAGTTCCTGCGCCATGGCAATCTCGGTCTCGCGCTGCTCGCAATGGCCGCCCTTCTTGCGCAGCATCGAAGCTTTCGCTTTCAGCTGAAGGAGGGCGCCCTGGTTGCTGCGCAGCGTGGCCAAGATAGTCCTGCAAGGAGAGGTTGGCGAAGGGGGGGCATGAATGGAGATGGGAAGGGTGATGGGGGGGCATGGGTAGTGAGGAGATGGCCCTGACGGGGCGCAGCTCCTGTTTCATTGTCTCGATGGCCACTGACTCCGCGATCGCGCCACGCGAAGAAGAAGATGCGTTCCCAGGGGCATCGGTGATCTTTTTGAGGGCGGAAACCGAGCTCAACATGTGTTTTTTTCCCCTCTCGTCGGTGCTGGTCATGGTCTTCGTCGCGCCCCTGTAGTAGCGATGCGACAAGAACGGCCCCGCTTCGTCGATGACACAGCGTGTTCTCGCCATCTGAGGGCCCAGGCCAAGAGCGATGTACTTTTGTTCCACCAAGCGAATGCACGCATCGCTGGCGCGCAGCCGTTGCGCCTGATCCACGGCGAAGACGTTCGCGCGGATGCCGTTGAACTCCAGGATTCTCGCCCTGGGCAACGTTGAGAATTAGAGCGCGCCGACAACAGACGCCCCAAAATGATTGATTCATGCCGGGGGGGGCGGTTTGCTCACCCACTTTCTCTTGCTTTTTGAAAACAAAGTAATCAACTGCATTCCATCGCGATATAACCCCCCCACATTCATTCTAGCGCAGGTGGGGGGGCACAAGGGCGAGGCTGAAAGATGAAAAGGCCAGCGGCGGGATGGCGGAGGATAACTGGTGGGGGTGCGTCTCGCTCTCTTTCTTCTTGTGCGACTTAGTGCAAGAATGAACAACCATTTCAAATTCTTGAAAACCACCATGATTCTCCACATCAGCGATGACATTTTGTCTGTCGCTGCTCCCGCCAGGCATTGCCAACCATGAGTCTACGGCCTTCTGCGCGTCAGCGCGGGACTCTTCGGGGGTACCCCTCCTGTGGTTCGTGGCATGGTAGCGGGGCGAGTTCTCGAAGCTCTTCGCCGCTCTGGGATCAGCTGTCGCAACCTCCCGATCGGTCTCTGCAAGCGCCTGTTCCTGGTGGTCAGATGGCTTCTTCTCTTGTTTGGCCAGGAGCAGCTGGAACGTTTTGGCCGTCTCCTTCTCTGACTTCGGAGCCAATGATGGGGGCGGCGCGGGCGGTGAAGATTCTGTTGCCGTGGGATGCGCAGGCGCTGCTTCAGCTGGAGCCACGGCGGGCCTCTTGAACACTGGAGGATGCGCATCCTCGTCGGAATCCCCAGGCATCGCGGCTGCTGGCCTCGAGGCAACCATATCTGCAATTCCGACGCGGATTGGCGCTGCACGGGTGGGAAAGTTTGCAAGAAGAACGATTGCGCAGAGGCAGAGCGAAAATAACGTCATCGCTTGAGCCAGCAAACAGCTACAGACAAGCCGGATCGCTCAGGAAACGATTGCGGATGCCAACGTCGCGACCAAGCGAAACGACGCGCTGACTGACCACAGCAGATTGCTTATTGCGCGCGCCGGAATGCGTTGAGGAGGCGGATGGAGAAGGAAGCAGCCAGCCAACTCAACAACTAAGTTCACGAAACTCCGAGTGGCGAAGACGATCATACCGAGGCGATCAAGTATAAGCCGAATGAGCCACCACCACCATATCATACCATACCACACAGAATATCATACAATGTTACATGTTGCTAATAAATTCAATGGTGCACGTACACACCATGGTGACATATTTTACCCGTAACAGTTTTACTGCTTGTTTTGTGAAGTAAAATTCTCATTGGTAAAACATTTCACCTGCATGGCGGGTCCTCTCTTGGTGATGCGCAGGGTGTCGCGTTTGCTGACAGAGCAGAAAACGACCCATTTGGACAGAAAGGGGTCGTTTTCCATCGCGGCAAGCGCTGTCTAGAAACGATACTCGTTTGTAGCATGAGCGACGGAAAACGCAACGTGCAATTTAGATTCCGAAGCTGTCCAGAATGTTACGCGCTATTTTTCCTGAAAACGATGTGTTTTCAACCATGCGCAGCATTTACCGTCAGTCGTCTGCGATTTCTTCATGAAAAATTTGCGTCACACTTGGATCGCATTTGGGTCTCTGCAATTCAAGCTGTGCGACCAGTTGCCCTGCCTCTTTCTGCGGAGGCATACTACAGCATGAAATGCAAAACTCCACCCATCCAACCTGCAACTCTGTCTCTGCCCTGCACCCACACACACGCATGCACACACGCACACGCACACACACGCACGCGCACACGCACGCGCACGCACACACACACACACGCACGCACGCACGCACGCACGCACACACACACACACACGCACACACACACACACACGCTGCAAGTCTCATCGCGAGAGGGCGGGGGTTTGTTTTCAGGCGCCGAAGGTGGCGAAGATTCAAGGGTCGCGCCCCCTTGATTCAGCGCAGACGGACATGGAAGCTCTCACTCCTTCCTCGGTTTCTTCCTGGGGGCGCGGCGCGTCGTCATTGGCGGCGCCACTCTTGTCCTTGAGCCGCCTGCGAGATGGCGCTGGTCCGCTCCCGCCGCCGCCGTGTTCGCTATCATCGTCTGAGGGCTGTTTTGCGTTGTTGGGGAAGCGGAGGCAACCTCCAACGACGGTGCAAGTCTCGTCGGCGTCGGCATGGGATTCGCGATTCGCGGCAGAACCTGGTTTCGCTGCAGCGCGAAGCCCGTCGCTCGGCCCGATCACTGGTAACGGTGGACAAATGAGAGGAGCGATTGGCGCAACTGGTGGAAAAGGATGCTGTCCCGCAACTGGCGCTGCCACCAATGGGGGCGGTGCTGCTCGCGGGATGGGAGCTGGCGGTGCGAGCGGCGCTGCTGCTGCCATATGCTGCTGCATCCGCCGAAGCTGCTGCACCTGAAAATGCTGCATCTGCTGCATCTGAAGCTGCTGCAGCTGCTGCATGATCGTTGCTCCTGGGTCCGAAGCTGCCGCCCCCGTCGGCTTCGGAACGGGATCGGGGGCTGGCTCTGTTTGCGGAGGCTCTAGCCATTCCTGCGGGGCCAGCTGCTCATCAGAAAACACTTCCCGCCCCTCCATCTCCTCCGTCGACGAGATCCACCTGCGGCAGGGGGCGGGCGCGCTCGTTCTCTCTGTCTCTTTCTCTTTTTCTCTATTTCGTTATCTCTCTCTCTCTCTCTCTGTCTCTCCTTCTCTCTCTATCACTACTCCTCGTTATTGGTCACCCTTCCCCTCCTTCCTTCCTTGCTTCCCTTCTCCGCCTCAATCCTGCATTTCCGACTCTCCACTCCGTGGCCCAATCAGCTCTCTTGTAAAGGAGGGCAAACTGTCTGGCGGACCCAAATGGCCTGCCGCGCGCCTGGCCCTTGTTCTGCTCCCTGCGTTTGATCGGCTTCATCGGCCGCGCATCGCTCCCGTTCGTTGACATGGCATCTAGCTAAATGGTGGTGGTCCGACCAGACTGTCGACAATGCGCTGCAGGATACATCACCGCTGGAATGTTGCCGTGGGAATCCGCGGCGCCCTCCATGCAGGCGCGCTGTTGTTCTTCTTGGCACTGCGGAGACACGCGGCCAACCCCAACTCCTATATAAGCGGAACAGCTGCATGTGTTGCAATGCTTTGGCCCGTTACGAAGAAACAAACGCATGGGCTGCCCCGCCCAAGCTCGGCCCTTCTCTGTCTGCTGCCAGCCGTCGCTCTGGGCGATGAGCCAGCGCACCTCGTCGTGCTCCATCTCCCCCCCCCCCCCCCCCCCCCCCCC